ACTCAAGACTATACAGAAAAAACCCAGGAGAATGAGCAGGTATTTGGAAAGGGGGGTAATGGGAGCATGGAGAAATCAGTGTAGAAAGGCTGGGGATCAGAAAAAGAAGTAAAAGATGTGTGTTTTACTCTGAAGGTGAGGGCTGACACATCTAGGATAAAAACAACTTGAAAGAAAATTGTAGAGATGGTAACATAAGAGTTCTAAGGCAGTAGACGAACAAAACCCAGTGCCACTGGGATCTTTCACAGGTAGTGATGGGGGCGATATGGGAAGACTTGAGTTTGACTGTGCCCTGAAGCTGTGGTGTTCTTCACCAGTATTAATTCCTTGTTTTCATCCACTAAACGTCTTTTTGGCAGGAAGAGATGGTTTGGGAGGTGAAGGTTTACTTGTAGAATGGACAGGCTTGTTAAATGTTCTTGGGACGTTAATTTCCCTTTAATCAGTGAAGAGGTAAAACACAGGCAGTTCAACCCTGCTATGCAACCTATTACAAAGGTCTGGACTGCAGATGAATAGTTTGAACAAAGGTAAGTGCTGAAACTAAATAATTAGAGGAAAACCACATGATAACTCAAGTTATTTGATTAAAATCAGCAATCCAGACTGTTGTAGCTAGCCAAGTAACTTCTCTCAAGTTTTTATTTGGTAAAACTTACTGTTAACATACCTTCCCATTAAGTAATTAGTTTGAGACCTGACTGCAGTAATGAAACTCTTGACAGGCAGGCAATTTCCCCTTGAAAACTGTTTAGATGAAATAAATATTGTTCAAGTCAACGAAAACTCCTCCCTACCCCCTGGGGAGAAATGCAGATGTGTGAAACCCCTGCTCTTCAGGCTGAATTTGTAACTCTCCTGCTTGTGTCGTGGTTTTTCCCTTCACATCAGTTGGCAGACAACTCTTCACCGAAGAACAGTTATTTAAATGACTGGCTTGGTTTTATTTGTATAAAATGGATCAACAAAAGGAACATAGTCAATGAAATGGAAATCACTATATACTTTTAAATCAAGAGAAGCCATATTAGTAATTATTTTTCAGTGATTTGAAGCTAGCCTTATCATGGGAAGGCTGTAATACTTGTGGTTAACCAAATTACTGTTTTGCTTTTAGATATGTTGGAAGGAAAGTGAAGTTCTTTTGCTTTTAACTTGAAAGAAATCGCCGTGTCGATTCTAGGGCTTGTTTCTTTTTTTTTTTTTTTTTGGTGTGCAAAACTGCAAATTATTTTGGCTGGGAGGTAGGGCTGGTGATTGACAATTCATCTGGTTTAGATTAATAGCTGAAAACTAGACATGGTTATTAGGACCTTGGTGAGTTGCTGGCTTCAGTGGGGTTTGAAAGATTCATCAGAACCACCATAGCGTTGGGACATTCAGTCCGTATGCTTGGATTTTCAAGCCCTCTTTTGAAACGCTCTTCACCTAAACCTTCTGGAAGAGCTGGGTGGCCATGGGTGGGGTGGTGGGCTCTGATGTGGCTGGGAAATGGGATAAGGTGCAGAGCAGAGGGCAGCAGCAGCGTGCTTGTTTTCACAGTGGAGGCAGCTGTGTTGGGCTTCAGAGCTTGCGCTCTTCAGTCCGTATGCTTGGATTTTCAAGCCCTCTTTTGAAACGCTCTTCACCTAAACCTTCTGGAAGAGCTGGGTGGCCATGGGTGGGGTGGTGGGCTCTGATGTGGCTGGGAAATGGGATAAGGTGCAGAGCAGAGGGCAGCAGCAGCGTGCTTGTTTTCACAGTGGAGGCAGCTGTGTTGGGCTTCAGAGCTTGCGCTCTTCAAAATACTCCTAATGATCTTGGAAAGAGTCAAAAGTCAGATGGCAGAGTTTGCTGCTGCTGTAAACGTAGCCAAAGCTGAGTGCCAAGTGAAGAGCCCAGCAATAATGATCTCATTCAATCATCAGCAATAATGCCGATCGATTACCCGTAAGTTGTGTGAGTCAAGGAATGGCCAGGGGTGGTTTGGATTGGATATTAAGAAGAATTTCTTCACCAAAAGGGCTGTCAGGCATTGGAACAGGCTGCCCAGGGAGGTGGTGGAGTCACTATCCCTGGAGGTGTTAAGACGACATGGTTTAGGGACATGGTTTAGTGGTGGACTTGGCAGTGTCAGGTTTATGGTTGGACTTAATGATCGTAAAGGCCTTTTCCAACCTAAATGATTTTACGATTCTTTGGTGCCTGGGCCACGAATCGGCAGGCAAAAACCTCTCCTTAGGAACAGGTTCTTGGTGTTAGATGGCAATCTGAAAATGTGCTATGAGAGCCAAAGAAATAAAACTGTAGCAATTGTTATGGAAGTAGTGGAGAGCAAAACAAAGATTGTTATCATGTTGCTACATGTATGCGTGGTATGCGGATGTGACAAGTGCTGTGCAGCTCTGGGTCCCTTCCTCAGGCCTCAGAAAAGAGAGTAGCACTTGAAAAAGCACAGAGGGGGGTCATTTAAGGGGGAAGAGAAGGAGAGATGATGAAAGCCTCTAAAATTGTGAGTGATCACAGACTGGTTTGGGTTGGAAGGGACCTTAAAGACCATCTAGTTCCAACCCCTCTGCCATGGGCAGGGACACCTTCCACTAGACCAGGTTGCTCAAAGCCTCATCCAGCCTGGCCTTGAACACTTCCAGGGATGGGGCGTTCACAAGGTGGATGATATCTTCATGGTATGGGTGCATGAAGAAGGTGAACGTGAAACAACGGTGGTTTGTCACCTGGTTTTGTCTCCTTGAATTTTTTTAGGGTCTTCAGCAAATTGAGAGGTGAGCTCAGAACTGCACATTAAGATGCTGATCTCTGAGATGTTGTGCAGCAAAAGGCACCATCATTTATCTGATAAACATGAAGGCACCACATCTGGCTCAGCAGATGTGTGCCGTAAATGAGTGACTGAGTTTGTTATTGGGCTGCATCTACTCTCTCCGTGTCCAGTTCTTTTACTCCTCCTTCCACAGGTTCTCAGAGACAGGATGTCAGGTTAGACAGGCCTCTGGGGGCCTGATGCTGTGCAGTTGCATTTAACGTATCGTTATTTTCAAATAGTTTTATCAGTGATAGAGCAAGTGTAGGAGTTTTCTCTGCCAGGAATAGACTATCCTGGGTGTGTTGTTACACAGAACTTCTGATTTACCCACAGCTACTGTGTGGGCCGAAGTGTTTGAGTCCATTAATCAGGTTTCACAAACGTGATTACGTTATTTATAGTCAAACGTAGGAATACTTAAATGACAGCTCCAGAATAGCCACCACGGTGGACTAAATGGTAGAGCTCAGTGGTGGGCGCTGACAGTGTTGCAGAACGCTGGGTTGTGTTGCCCTGCTTCTTGTGGAGAAGGAGTTAATTTTGTGTGTGTTAGTGGTTCACTGCTGGGTTTACTTTGCTGGCCTTACTATCTGTGGGCACGTGACCTTGC